GGTATGATGAATACATAGAACTTCCACACTCAGCACATAAACGGTCTATTGATAAATCGTGTGTTCTTTTACAGAAATGATTGTGGTCTGCAATGTATTCTTGTTTTCTATTTCAGTTATTTATCGCATACTAAATTTAACCAAACAAATTAGTCCGCAAATTTATAGACATCACAAATATATAATATAAATTATAATTTTCAGTAGTTTATATCTGTGATAGATATTATTCTAATATCTAATGCATTCTCCCGCCGGAGGCCATACTCCATAGACCCAGTTCAGGGGAAGTTAAATTTTTACTTACAAATTTATAAGAAAAAAGTGGTTGGGGCAAGAAACTTTATGATTTTTAAACTGATAAATAATTTTCTCATGACTATAAATAACGCAAAAAGAGTCAAAATAGTTTGAAAATTTTACCATGTATGGAAAATTCAAGTATAAATATGTTTTACTTTTTTTGTTACAGGTGGAAAAATTTATGTATGTTCTTCTATTTAACTTACCCTACCAATAATATCACTATATAAAATAATTAAAAGTGATAATTTGAAGACAATTTCTTAAAACCCTAGAATATTTTTTTAATTTAGTGTCTAAACCATATAGTTTAGCACCCAAGCAAATTTTTCATTTTTTTTTTTTGGAAACCTATGATTTGCAACCCATTATAAGATTTATGATGCAAAAATTAATTCACGGAAATCATTAGTTGTTATAGCATAACCTTACGAAGTTCACGATTTTCGGTGTTTTACGCACCCGTACAACGCTTAAAGTTTAACTAGCTTAAGTAGGTATAACAAATAACAATTTTTTTAACCTAGTTAAGTCAACGTCTTCAGAATGATGGTGCAAAAATAATTCATAACAAGTTTTACATAACAAGTCGAGGGATGTTTTTAATTATAATTGCCCGAGCGAGCACAGCGTGCAAGTGAATACGCCGGGTAGGTATATATGAGATAACCAAAAATTTCAATTAGCTATAACTTTAAAATAAAGTATAAATATAAAATAAAAATAAATTAAAATATTTAAAGTAAATTAAAATATTTTCAATTAAAAACTAATGATTTTCGGCAATTAAATTTTGCAATATCGTTCTCAATTCGTTGTAACTTCATGGGTCTAGAATGAAAAGGTTCTAAATCGTTTTTATGAAATTGTCCAGGAGAGCAATTCTAAGGTTTGAGTTAAAATATTTTATTCCTTGAAATCATTTTGTTTAAATTAAAGTTCTAAGGCATGTAGCAACTTGTATAGTTTAATTCACATCACTATAGTAATAATTTGCTATATTGGTTGTGTTAACTTCTCCTAATCAATAACTACAAAAACAAATTGATCAGTCTTGAATAGCTCGTTTATTATAACGCAAAAGAAAAGAAACAACATGAAACTTAAACACTTATAAAGCAACAACGAAAACGTCTATCGTGTGCATGGATACCTAACATCCACCACACGAGTCGACGAAGACACGACGTAACTACTTAACTAACTACTATAACTAGCAAGTCTCCGCCACTCGGCTAGTACTGCCACAGGTTGACAGAAAAGGAGCGAGCACCGCCGCCAACCGTCCTGACATCTAGGGGAGTTTACAGTTGGTATTAAAATTAATAAAATACATATTATTATAAATTGGTTCTACAATTAGGAACTTTTAAACCTAAAATAAAAAGAAATATATTCATCAATTAGAACTTTTTCATTCTTAAATGTTATTTGTATTATTGTTAGCTGAATATGTTAGCTGAATAGTTTTGATTTATAAATTCAGGCATAATTCGAATACAACTTTTTGTATTCTAATTGTTAAAATGTATTTAAAAAAAATAATAATCCTTTAAAATTAAGTACTTATTCATATTTTGAATAATTCACCCAGTTACTAGTAAATGTTTTGAACTTAAAAAAAAAATGCATTTGTGTGAACGGCTAAAATTGTGTATAAAGCATCGGCCGAAGCATCAACATACATTTGTATTACATTTTAGTATATTATGACTATGGTAGACAAATGTTGATTAAAGCGTAAACAACAAATATAAAAAAATGGCATTTGGCTAAAGTTAGTATAGTATATGTGATTCAACAGTAACTAGATATAATATGGTCTATGGCATATTGTTTGTCCTCTGCTTTAATATGACAAGTTGTATTCTTGCCTCGCTTTTTATCAGGTGGAGTTAATGAAAGTGGGTTCATTGATGAATGACAATTATAAATAACCTTTGGCTAATACATAATAAGTTTAAGAATAATTTTTTGCAGACTCTAATCAATATTTTATCAGTTTTGTAGAAATTATACTGGTAACATTTTGTCCTTTGATTTATTTTTACTTTTTGAAGTAATTAAGGATTTATAATTAAGTATAAATAAAATTTTATCATTTCTGCTGACGCTGTGGTAGGTATATACATGTTCAAGTCCTTTTTCAGTCAAATCATTATTGATTGATTGTTTCCAATTTTTGGGATTTCTTTGTTTTTTTCTGGTAAACTTATTATCCATTTTGATTGGTGCCTTTTCTGATGGTGATTCTTCACATGATGATTATTCAACTAATCTAAAACATGACAAATTATTTTAATTTTGTTATTAAATTACATTTTGGTGTATTTACTATCTTATATTATAATTACTAAAAGACATAGATTTTTAAATGTAATTTGGGTATTCTTAGGTATAGCATGCACTCTGTGCAACATGTTTGCATTTATGCAATACACTTTCAGTCTATTTCCATAAGGTTAATATAAAAATTAATAAAATAGTAAAACATAGTACAATATTATAACATAATATACAAAAATAAATTGTTCAGTGAAAATTAGTATTATATATTTAGTACATTTAATGTATAAACATAAAACATTAAGGTATTTCTAGTTCCTACTCCGTTATTAATTTGTTATTAATATACATACAGGCTTTCAATAATTATATATTTATCTGATACTAATATTAAGAAATGTTTTTATTTTGTTGTCATTATCATATTGAAGTATACTACTCATAAAAACATAACAAAAAACACAAAATACATGATTTTATAACAAAAATTATAACTAGGCACTGGTAGAATTATTTTAGCTTAAATTGGAACTATGTTTAATTAAAATAAATTATTACTGTAGTGTAACATTACCTTGACATGTTTGTTGAATTTTCATCAATTAAACCATAAGAGATGTGAGTATGTACTTTCTGAGGTGACTTTTCCAATCCAGAGTCCATCCCATCTTGTAACTTATTAATACTTGAAATATAATTTTGTGAATCTCTAGAGTCTTGAAGTAAACTAGGAATACAAAAACAAAACAATTTTTAAGCATAGTTTAACTATTTAAAAATTAATACAAGCCAAAAAAGGTGCTCTGCTGTACAGTAGGTTACAAGTGGGTCATTGTATAATCGATGGTATTAAATTTGAATTCAATGATATAATATCATTGTATAAGAAAAACGATTCTGAGCGGAGACGGTATGTCAGTCTAGGTTTAAGACATATATATACATATCTATGGTATTTTAAAAAATAGTGACCTATAATAGGTACCTATAATAAATTAAAAATTAATCATATCACAATATCCAATAAGTACTTATAATGAGTTATACATCAACAAAAACCCGTGATACTATCATAGATACATAATAGTACACTTTAGAAGTTTCAAGTAGGTACCCACAAATAATATTATACAATCACAACAAAATAACTAAATGCTAGGTTTTTTAATATGTAATTTCGTCCAAAAATGAACTTAAAATGACTATAAAAATAAACTGTGCTTGTGTATTTTTAATATTTTTCAACTGCTATTGTAACAATATATCAGGAGCATTGTATTAAAATTTTACACTTTTTGACCCAACAGATAAAACTTCATTGATATTCATAGAAAAAAAAAGTAAAAAAATTGAAAACTGACAATGCCCGTTAACAGCTCAAAAAGTGTCAAGATATTTTGAACATTTTATCAAGTAAAAGAATTGATAATATAAACATTCAGTGAAATTGTCATGTATCTACAGTTATTCGTTTTTCAAGTATAACAAAATAAGAAAATCGTTACATGAAAAATCGAGTGAATAACACATTTTGTAAAATTATGAATTGAAAATGCTCAAAAAATTTTATTTCAACTTCCGGTAGACATTTTTTTTTTTTTATAAAGGTAGATAATCTTATAGGGAATCTTGTATTACATTTAAAAATCTTAGATTTAAAAAGAAAAATTTTTATGAATTCTTAACTCAAAAGAATTTGCTAATTTTTGTGATTTTTCCATATTTTGTCAATTTTTGAACTTTAAATTCTTATAAAAAAAATCTGTGACTAAGGATTTTTAATATTTTTCAAATGTCATTGTAACAATATAGAAGGAGCATTGTACTAAATTTTCAAGTATTTTTACTCAGCAAATAAAGTTTTATTGACATTCATAGAAAAAAAACTAATAAAATGGGAAACCGCAAATGTAACTAAACAGTTAAAAACATATCATAATATTTTGAAAATTTTATCATGTATATAAAATGCAAATATAAACAAGCAGTGAAAATTTCATGTATATACGATCATTTGTTTTAGAGTTACACCAAAAACCAAAATGTTGGGTAAAAATTCCCGTTTTTCCTTAATTTTTATGTGGTTTTTTCCGGCACAAAACTATTGGGAATTTTAAAATTTGACCTCCCGAATGCACCAACTAGATTCAGTTTTCCATCGAACAAGATACTGTAATTACATAATTTAATGACATTCCTGTGTTTAGTAAAATTATAGCAGATGGACTCATAAGTATACACTATTATTTCACCCACCTACCCACCCAACTTTCAAGGCGGTTATTAAATTGAACTAGAAATCAAAATTGAAAAAGGTTTTAATTTGTAAAATATTTTGATTATTATATTGCAACAAATATTTCATCAGTCATTACTATAATATTGTTATTTCATAAATAAAAATAAGTGTATTAACTTACAGGCAAAGGTTTTAATTGAGAAAATATTTGTTCACAATAATTATTTTCAAGTTTGGCTCTTTGATCTATTTCATGTTTTAGTGCCATTTTGGTTAACTTTAATTTGTTATGTAAGAATGGACATTCTTGGCATGGTTTATTACTATCATTTCCAGTACCGGTCACTGAAAAGAAAAAATATAGAATTATTATGCAACTCAAATTTAAGAACTATATTTTAATTACAGCTTAAAAGTATAGGTAACTCATTTGTATATACCCTCAATAAGAATTTTTTTTGAGAAATGTTTAAGTTTATTTTTTAATTCTCCTTTTTCTGTTTCTAGTGAATCAATATCTGCTTGCAAATGGTCCATCGTTCCTTCTTATTCTTTTGACTTTCTTTTTAATTGCTGTTGTGTTTCATCCAATTAATATAAAACAAACATTTTCTAATAAATAATATATTTTTAACTATTTTTCCATATAATAAATATTTTAATTTATAGTTAACCTTAAAGTCAAGCATTTCTGGTATTGATGACCGAACTTTATCTTTTGATGCAGATTCTCTCATTAATTGAGTTTGTAGATCTTGATTTTGTTCACTTAGTTCATAAACCAGACCTTTAAATTTTACAAAAACCGAATTCCGATCAGCTAAACTTTCCAATGCTTGTCCTTTTCCTTTGAAACACTTTAAAATAAATATGATTTAGGTATAAATAAAAATAAAATGTTTGCTATTAATACTATTTAAAACCTCTCTAATATTAGCATTTGCCATATCTAATTCTTTACATAATTGCATTTCCAACTCTGTACTATCTCCTTGGAGTAGATCATTAATATCTTGTATTGCTTCTAGATCAGTCACTGCTTTCTCTAATTCTACCATTTTATTTTCCAAATTCAATTTTTGTTAACCCAGAAGCTCAACTAATTCCTCTACTCCTAAAGCTGCATCAACCTAAAATATAATAATATATTAATACTTGGAAACTATCTATTTAAAAATTAATATAAAACCTATTCATGCAAATCATTAACTTGAGATGCTAGTTCTTCATTAGACTTTTGTAAATCATTACATTGTTTGGTCATTTCTTCTATTTCTCTTTGTAAGTTTTGAGTTTGGTGTTTCTCGTGGGCAGATAAATCTCGTAATCTAAAGTTTCAATAAGTGTCAACTAAATAGGAATCAATCAATTTTAAACAACAATAATAATATAAAAGCATCTTATACTTGAAAAGTGTATCTCTAAGACGTACATTTTGTTGTTCAAGTTGCTTGACTTTGAAAGAATTGGCACCATCTCCTCCCTCTTCACTTACATTTCCTTTCTCAAACTCAGCCTTTAAGAGTTCTAAATCTACTGTTAATTCCTCAATACACTCTTTTGCTTGGTCTAATTCTAATTGAAGTGTTTCTGCTTTCACTTCAGCCATTTCTAAAGTCTCCACCATTTCAGTATACTCGTCTTTTAATTCTATGCATCTTGTTTTTCCATTTTAACTTTTTCTAATTCTTTTTTTAATGCTCAATGAGATTCCATAATTTTAATTTTAAATTCTGCAGCTTGATCCAGTTGCAATTTCATCATATCAATATCATTTCAGGCAGTACAAAAATGAGTTTAAAGAATTTTAATATGTAATGCTTACCCCGAGGCTGCGATTCAAAAACAGATTTTTGAGATACAGTAGGTGACTCAGTAAGAATCAGTATGTACCGAGCTACAAAATAAAAAAATTATATTTATGAACAGATATCAAAATTTTTATGAAATTCTACATTTATACAATATACTTTACATGTATTTCCAAAGCCTTAGTCTTTTAAAATTTTAGTCAGTTTTGATATTTAATCCCATCCAAAAAGAAACACAAGTATTGCACCATCATCTTTATTGTTACAAATGTAATATAAGAGTTCTAAAATCAATTCGTAATCTGTATCTTCAGACATTGGATTTTCCAACCAATTCAATATTGCAAAAGGATATTTTTGGAATCTCTTCATTTCACTACAAAAGATTTTGTTATTTGATTATTTGTTAACAATATGTACGTAAATATATCTTAATATATCTTTTACATGCATACTCACTTTACATAAGGAATTACAAATTCAGTGAATGGATCACCAGGTTTAATTTTGCGAGATCTTTGTGTTGGTTTTTTAGGAAAATATCTAAACCTGTATTCAGCAGAAATAAATGAAATTATTAGGTATTAGCAATGATAAAAAAATTTAACAAACCTATTTAATGTATAAATGTCTTCAAGGAAAATTTCTTCAACTAGATATGTGAATCCCTGTATATTCAAAGATGGACAGTCATTGTAATACTTGGAAAATGCTGCAGCATTAATATAACTTTAATATGAGGTCTCTGGATTAACAGTACAAAAAAAAAAAATTAGTACAATTTAAATAAAATACTACGATAGCAAGAAACATAATATGCATGTAATTACAACAGGTATGATTCTCTCGAGAACAGTTAATGTAAAATCACTAATGGTGTCACGTTCATGTATTTCATCAATGATAATATGTGAGTAATAATTTAAAGCTTAATCTCTTTGGATATGTTGAAGTAAAATAACAGTAGTACAAAATAATACAGATCCATATTCACGACCCAATTTTCTAAAATATAATACATTATATTAGATATTAGTATCTTCTATTTACTTAATATTATAATCATGTAACTTGAAGAATAAATCATTAATATATTTGTATTCTCTAGTAGATATTTCTCAACTTACTGTGAAAATTTAGTTAAAAATAAATGTAATATTATATATAAAATAAACAATTCATATTAACCTATGCCAATAATTAAGGTGTACAACTTATAAGTCTGTACCTATATGAAATTTTAGATGTTCACACACTTCAATAGAACATTATTTTGTATCAACTTGCCACTTAATCCCAATGTCCCAAAATACAGATCCAATTGTCATAACAATCAGATCAATAGTGACGAGTTCTAAACTTTTTGTTTCTAAATAAACAAAAATGTAGTCGATAACCGTATATTCAGGGGTTAAAGTGAGAGGGGACGCAGGTGACTCAGTCCCCCTATTGCGGACAGTGGTTAAAAAGCGTCCCCTTTAACAAATTAGGGTTCTATACATTAAACATCATACATAAAATTATGTATGGAACGCTTAAGACTATATGGAGACATTAGTCCCCTCTGGAATATTTTCCCACTTTAAGCCCTGCGTATATTATCATAATTTTTATCAATTAGGTATGGGATTTTTTAAAATTACAGTAAATAAAAAAACTAATAATTTCAATGTAATTCCATCAAAATGTCTTATCCCTAAGAGTTAGCTAAAAACGAGTTAAATTGTTTTAAAAATTGTATGGTGTACAGAAAATGCAAAAAAAGAACTGCTTTTCCTGATGTATTTGAAAGAAGCTGGGAATTTTAAATTTTTACCTGTCATCCAACTAGATTCATTTTCCTTTCAGAAAATATACTGAAGTCTAAACTAGTTATGTGTTTCTTTGCAATTTAAATATGTTGAGTCCCTTTGTGTTATTGAAATTGGATTGTTTCCCAGGAAAATTGTATTGCCTAAAAAATTAAAACTTTGTTAAAAATATGTCAGTGCACCATTTGTTTCTTTCTTTGAATATTGAGCAACATGCAAGTGTGGGTACAGTAGATCCAGTTTTATACTGTTAGCTTTAATATTAGAATTATATAACATAATATTATAATCATACTTAAAAGCAAATATATTTTTCAAGGTACCTTATAGAGAAGCACTAAGCATTTATTTGTATTTTATTTTTAAAACAAATTATGAATATTTTAATATTGTAAGATATAATTATTTATTTATTAATTTATTTTGACTTAACGGGCTGAGCCCTTTCGATGTACAAATTTATATCCACGCACACAATTAGATATTATACAATGTGTCCCGTGAACAGGTGTGTACGTTAGTTAGTAAATAGTACAGTAAAATAGCAAAATAGTAAAATAAAAACCTATTAACAAATATTCTCACCTTTAAGTTTCATAACTCGCTCCAATATGGTATGTATATAATTATCTTCAAGAAAGTCAACGTCTGAAAATTGTCAACACATTGGCTCAACTTAATAGTTTCTTGTATGTGGTACATCATATATTTCAGTTTTGAAAACCGTAATAAGTATAATCCACTGTATGAACTAAAAACGATAAACCACTAAGTAACTTTTTGCTTTGGCAAACATTTAAAATCGGAACTTGAGTAATATACTTATATAAGTGTGTGTGAATTAGACATTATTAAGTTTCTAAGGCTTTTCTGGGTGAATTAAAATCATCGAAATCCTTTATTTGTCTGTTCGTTTTCTTCAAACTCATCGGTGGAGAAATATTATTTTCTGAAAATATAAAGTTGTAAAAAATATCTGAATACCTACCTAATTCATATTAAAAGATTTTACCTCTTAGATGATTTACTAGTCGTGCTCGGAGTGGTACCAGTGTTGCTGTAAATTATTAAAATGTATTTTTTATTGTTTATTTTACTCCTCTAAACAGACATGAGGTTTGGACTTTGGATTATGTTTTGTGACAGCATCTGGCCATAATAATATCTACTATATACTGAGCCTTGTGTAAACTCCCGTTAACTTGGGGAGATAGCGTCATAGGTCTATGTGGTCGGGTAGCTCAGTGGTAGAGCAATCGCCCGGCAAGCGAGAGACTCGGGTTCGATTCCCGGTCTGGCGGCTTGATTTTTGACGTTATTACCCCTGGAGAAGTTAACACTTGTTTATAATTACTGATTGTGAAATGATTACTGCAGATTCTGCTCCAGATAGATATTGGGTAATATTTAATTTGAAAATGTATTTCCTTCTATTTTCATTTTTTGTAAATCTATATTTGTGAACAAAATTAGACTGGCACCATATTATTAAGAAGACGCTACACCCGCATGTGTTGTCTCCGTCTTACACACGTACGACATAGACAAAACGCGTTTAGGCAGTCTGAGTATAACTCGCTCAATTTTGGTTCTAGAGTAAAAATGCCTATTATGAAATTGAATTGTGATAATATTTCTAAGGGCAAGACGCTGAGGTTTTTCCATTATACCCAATATAACGTTCATTATATCTTTTAGAAATAGAAAAAATTTCACCATTTTTAAAATACCTTTGACTTTTAAAAAATTAAATTTTTTAAAAAAACCGCAGCGTCTTGCCCTTAGAAATATTATCACAATTCAATTTCATAATATGTATTTTTACTCTAGAACCAAAATTGAGCGAGTTATACTCAGACTGCCTAAACGCGTTTTGTCTATGTCGTACGTGTGTAAGACGGAGACAACACATGCG